GAAAACAAAGTGGCCGAAATCCGAGGAGAAATTGGATTTTGGGGGTAGGTTAGGTTTTAGACCTCTGGGAGCCTGGCCCCCCCACTTTCGAAAACGTTCCTACGCCTATGCAACGACCAAATGGTGAGGTAAGGCCTCTAGGGAGATACGGGGACATGCAAGGACCTACATACAAACTTGGTGGTGCAGTTGATGCACATGATCGAGGCTTTCCTTGTGGGAATATTCTCAGCAATAGCAGCCAACAAAATATCCGCTTTACCGCTGAGCTTTTGCCGAGCGTTCCGTAAAAGAAGAAAGAAAGAAAGAAAAACAGCGGAGGAGAGGAGCGGCTGACAGAACAAAGAAGCCATTAACATCTCAGAGATTATTTGGCCTTTGGCCTTTCACGTTCTTTCTTCTTAGTGTGCTGTATGGCAACGAAAAAGTGCATACAGAGAAACGCAATAATGGCCATCTAAGACAAAACACCACGGTGCGTTTTTGCAGAATCTCGTAGGTACAGATAATGGTGGGAACAGCCAACTGTCAGCGAAACCCGTCACCACACAAACGCGGTCAAACTCACTTCAGCCCTTTGTATCCTCCCCCTCCAGTCCTTTCCACCCCTACCCCTCATTCATCCACGCACCCTCTCCATCCCCTTCACACCTCCTGATAATTCCTGATCGCCCAGCCCACACGGATCTTACCTGGCGGGCTGCGAGTACGGGTCCATTTTGAGCATGTGCGACGCATCCTCGAGCTGTTTGCTGGCGTCGTCGACCCGTGTCAGCGAGGCCGGCATGTCCTGACGCAGTAGCGGGTCGTCGCTCGAGTTGATGGTCTCTCGGCCCACCTGACAAACGAGAGGGAGAGGTGTGTTACAGGGAGAGTGGAACTGGATGTAACCTTAGTACAATAAGGCGCGCAGTGTGTTGACATGAAAGGCTAACGTGGTTTACGGCGAGGAAATAGGGTCGTACGCGTAACTCACAAAGTCATTATCGTATTAGAAGGCCTCCAACAGTAAATAATTTAGGCCGCTGAATCACATGAACATTCCATTCCACAAATGACAGCCTGTTTCGATCACTCGGCATATCCCGGGGCCGATAGCGACTCATAAACAGCATTCGCCACTGAATGGGGCCTCTGTTCACTGTTTGGTCTCCCCCAGGAGGCTGGAAAAGGAAAGGCGAGGGAGAAGACAACTAAGACAAGGTAAACGGGCTTACTGGGACGGTGTCCAAGTGGTTAGTAACCGCAGGTTGTTTGATATAGCCAACGCTATTCGTTAGATACTGCTGCCAGATATTCAGGCATGCCCAGTGCCCACCTTGCCCGGCTGGTGGGAGAGCGTAGTGGGTGTCGCATTTTAGGTATACACCCCTGGGCACAAGTCATCACCAATTCGCGGTAAGCCGTGCTGTAATTGTAATATATCAGCCCCATCAGTGTAACTTTCGTCTTCGGAAACATCGAGACAATACCACAGAACATTTCCGCAGCTTGTTCGCACCTCATAAAACCTTCAGTCACTGCGCGCGGGGTGCAACTCACAGCGACGGAAGGCGATGCCCGAGGTCACGGGCAAGGTCACGAGTCCACGACCCCAGAGCACATCGGCGGCGGCGGTGGCACGCGCTGGCTGACCGCAGTCGGCGCAACGCTGCAGGTAGGTATGCATGTATCCCTCCGCGACGGAGGTCGATTAACGATGAGAAAGACAGAGAAATGTAATTTTAAAACACTTCTGAGAGAAATATGCAATGCATGAGGGAATGCAACAAATCAGCGGCATACATCAGGGAACGATGTAGCTTATTTACCTAGGTACTTTTCATTACGAATAATTGCCAGATACCTCTCTACGAGTGCACAGATACCTCTCTGAAAGGAGCACTGAATGGTATGAGCAGTGAACATGTGTTCCCAGAGTGTTGCTGGTTGTGTTCGACCCATAACCTTTGCCGTCGGTGTCAGCATTGGGAAGGGGGGGGGTCAGTGCAGACTGCGGTGAATGGCCCCTCTCTAGTCAGTGACGGGGTTTGTATGGGGAGGGGGGCAGTGCAGACCGGGGCGAATGGCCGCTGTCTGGCCCGCCCCCTGTTGGCATGCAGCGCACCGGTCGACCACTCAGCACCGTGGGCGACTGGGAGCGCCGCTAAAGCTCACACTCTACGGGAACTCGACCCGTGTCTCTCGATCGGGCAAATCAGTCTCCATGACCGCACCTGTGACCTAAACACAACCAAACCAAAATCAATGGACACCAGGACCAAGGTGCAGGGATCCGTCATCTCTCACAAGAAGTCATCACCGGCGCTATCGCCGGAAGCCACCGGCCCACTAGCGCCGCCGTGACAGGGCCATACTCCATACCGAGAACCCGCCCGAGCACCGCCGACGCTCGCCGTATCGCCTGCGTGAGTGCGTCGGGCGCCGCGCGGCCCGCCCGGTCGTGGGTGTCGGCTCGTTCAGGTGCGCCGGCGGCCGACAGTGTGACCGAGCCCGACCGACCGGGGCGGACCGGTATCGGCGGCCGAAACCCGGCTCCGATCAGGTCGTGGCCGGCTCGGCTCGGCCGGTCACAGCTGCCGCAGCCGCCGACCGGCCGGCACCGCCCGGGGCAGCCTTATATGGCGACCCCAGGCCTCCCCACTCGCAGCCGCCGCCCCGGCAGTCGCGCCGGCCGAGCACGCGTGAGCTGGGGCGCCGGGCGGGCGGGGGCGGGGGCGGCTGCACACTGCACAGTGCACACCATCTGGCTACAGCGCACGGCGATACGTCCGTTAGCGCTAGTGGACGCAGTGGAAAATGAAACCGGAGGCGAGGCAGACCGGGGCAATATGAGATGACGGCACGGACCAGGAGAGAAATGGGCAGGGTAGGGGAGGGGGAGGCCGGAGGGGCGGCGGGGCCACGGGTCAGAGGAGCGAGCCTTGATGGAAGAGAACCATGCAGTAACGGGAGAAGACGGACAAAAAAGGCATTGAACGCATGGATGACACGTGTGTGTTAGATACAATGCGACGGGACGATACCAATTCTAACGAAGACAAATGAGAGAAGGAAGAAGCAGTGTGCTTTTCAGCTGACGCTGATAATCGCTGCGAGTAACAACCCCACTATCTGAACCGATGGCGTGGCATTACGTGTCAACGACAAAGAGACTGTCCTGCTATTGATGGCACCCATGTCAAGGGATGGTGTAGTCCTGTAAAAGGGATCGTAAAAGGTAAAAAAAAGCAATAATTAATCTACATCGGAGGCCGGCAGTCTGCGGCCCACGGGTCGGATCCGGCCTGCAGCTCTCTAAGTTGTGACTGCCGGCTGTTCGTAACAAAGCCTTCTGCGCTTTTGCGAGTTGAGATTCGCATTCCCACAGGACGTCGGTTTTATAAGTCACAAGCCGACAGAACAGGCCGGATTCGGAGTCCCGTGGACGGCGAAAACTATACGCAATATACGCATCACGAAGATTCTTCGCCACCCGGGCCGAAAATGCCGTTGGATGTCACACGGACGACGAAGATTCTACTTGAAGTAGGTACTCCCACCCCACTATCCCCAGTACTGACCTTGACCAGATTATTGGTAGGCAGAGGACTGACCAATTATTGGTACTGGTAGGTAACCAGGACTCTGACCTTGCCAACTTGACCATACTACTCAGCCCAAGAAGAGACACTGACCAGCTTACAGACCCCAGGAGACTGACATTGGCCAGGCATTTGGATCCAGGAGGCTAACACTGACCAGATTATTAACCCAAGAGACCAGCATTGACCAGATCCTCAACCAGGGGCAACTGACCATGACCTGGCCACTGACCCCAATCAGACTGACCTGGATCAGGTGAATGACCTCCAGGAGCAAGGAGTTTTAGTGTGATCAGGTCATGGTCCATGGATCCCTTGGAAGAAGGACACTAACCTTGACCAGGTTGTTGACAGCACGTGAGACAGCCAGCACTGGCCGCTCCAGATCAGGCATGGCATTTCCATCTTCAGCCTCCTCATGGAGAATAACCAACCGCGAGACCTGAGGTACAAAAGGCAGGGCAGGTCAGCATCTGTCATAACCATAATGTTTACCAGTCACAAAGTCTGAAAAATGATGAGTAACAAAATAAATGATTACATGATTCAACTCATTACTGATAAAGTTACTTATCAAATACTTATAAATAACAAAAGCAAATTTACTTACTTACAAAAATTACTTATAACAAAAGCAAAGTGAAAGGCAACTTTGGGCTGGTCAAGTAAAAGTATAAAACTAGGCATTAGCTATATCTCTGTGATTATTACAACACTAGATCATATTAAAAATTTAATAATGATTTTGATTCAGTTACGCTGAAAGCTATTTCCAATTCGGTACGATAATTAATGCTGAAAATAACTAACCTGCTGCGCAACAGGCTCAAGGATGCTCTCGATCGTTTTTGTGTGGAACACAGGCATTTTGCACAAAGCCTTGCTCCCCTTGAACACACTTCACACAACCGAAGAATGACGATACCGACGATACGATATTTGCCAGTAACCCTCCGATTTCAATTTACACCGCTCAGACTGCTGGTCGGAAACACACAAAATCCGCACGCGTGGTCCCACCCCTCCTCACTCGTCCCCGGCGACACGAAAACTGTGTCTTGTTTGGCTTTTGTCCCAGCTTCAAGCTAAGGCTGGTCAATAATAGTCCAAATGTGCTGAATCAAATCCTATTACGTAATGTGTAAAGATTCTTTTTACAGCATACCTTTGAATAAAATATAGGTATAATCTTGGGTATAATCAATTATTTAAGGAGGTCGACGGTACAATTTTCAGTTTTAACACTTTTGGAATAAAAACTATTGGTTTGACAACTTTTTAAACCTTGTTTTATAAAGAACAAAATAAAAATGACAGATTCTAATGACGTCAAAAGTCTATCAAAACTTTTCGATGCATCATTGGAACAAAAATATGGTATCACAACTTTGCCACTGAAGGAATTTTCTATCAAAGTTTTTGCTGGCCATCATTCACAAAAAGGAACAGGGGTTATCTTGCTTACCATGAGAATTCAAACATTTTCTGTTAAATCTATACTAAAGATAAAAAGAATTTGAAATAAATTTCCATCGTTGAAGTTTAAATGTTCCAATTTTTGTGAAGATTTAGAGAAAAAAATCCAGCAGGTGAAGTAATTTTGATATGACCCGTGGATTGTTTATATTTTGCATATAGCCTTGGTCAGCATGACGCGCGAGAATGTTGTTGAACCCAAGGTGAACCGGTTTTTGGAATATGTCAGGTGGTTATGTCAGGAGTGGTGCAGGCAGGAGATGATTTTAAAGTATTGGTGAGGTTGAGGTAGGACGAGGTAAGATGCATTGCGGCTGGCCCTGTAGGCCTTATAGTTCTGATTTGCGGTCTCAGTCTTGGTCTCGTTGACTATTGTCAACTCAAACTGTAGCAGTTGAAAAGCTAGGCGCACTTCAGTAGATGACAATGTATAAATCGTTACACTGACTAATTGTAAGGTGGTAAATATTTACATAAGGTCCGATTGACTGTTCAAGCATAAATTTTGCATATTCTTACATTATTTGACATTCTGAATCCAGATATCATGCTTACGTGCGGCGGAAAAATCAAAAAAACAAAAAAATAACAACCTGTTACACCCCTTCATAACACGATACATACCCACGTGCACGCACCGACGACGTGAATGAATGCGACGAGGGAAAAACGCCGCCGTTTCAGCGCTGCCATATGAAGTTTTTTGCTGCCATTTTCGGGGAAATGTTGGGAACCGGGGTTTATGGGTGGGGAGGGAATCAAATACGATAATCAATGAAAGTGACGTCAAAATAACAAAAGACGAAAAAAATGATAAAAATCATAAACTAACCTAACCTAACCTAACCTAACCTAACCTAACCTAACCTACTGATTTTTGCCTACCGGGGATAGGGAAAAAGTTACTTGCAGGAATAGATTGCAGGCAAGAGTAAATCAAATATTTTTAGGTTAAGTGGTCATGCATCAGGCTTCAGGCCTTCGGCCTGAAGCCAGATACATAACCACTTAACCTAAAAATATTTGATTTACTCTTGTCTGTAATCTCTCCTAAGGCATCGCCTTCGGCACTGCACTGCTCCGCCACGAGTATTATTATGACGTCACTTTCGTAACAAAATCGAATAGCGTAATGTTTTCACTCAACCTCGGAGTTTATTCATTCGATCCTTTCCACGTGGTGCAAACGGCTGGTGGAGTGCGGTAGTGGCCGGTGGTGACGGTAAATATTTTACAGGTGCTTTAAAACTTAGTTGCGCCATGAATAACTATCAGATATGAAATCAGGAGGCCAAAATACATCGTGTGGTATGTTTGTTATAATCACTTTGGCGATCGGACCTTATGTATATAAATACCTGTAAGGTTGTACCGTAATGCCAATGTGTCAATCTGTTTTGCAGTAATTAACTTATGCATATATTACTGTCGAGTGATTTTCTGCACTCACCCGGGCCCAATCTTATCAAATTCTGTGAATGCGCATTCACAGCATTTGGTAACATTCAAAACTATTCAACATTCATTTATTCATTCGTTCGGGCAACATTCATAATCATTCACGCTATCAAAATCATTGGACAACATTAGCTGGTTGTAAATAAAAAGGATATAATTTATATCAGTGCCGTAAACTCCGGCCAGTGCTGCCAAATCACATTTACGGCATTGGTAAGATTGGGCCCTGGTCAACTCACCTGGTCAACATCCCATACCTACCAAGGAAGGGGATTCAAGCAAGGGATATAAACTATTAGCCTGTATTGCTGGACCAATGTCATCCACATCCTCTCAAATGTAAAAAGACCTAATAGAAAATGATATTTGTGCCCATCTCTGTTTCAGTAGCTGTGATGGATCTGAGTGCAGGTGATAGCCACGTCGGCTCTCGGGAGCCATCACTCAGCTTCCTCCCCAAAGAGGTGCTGGCATCGGCTCGGCCCGAGGTGCCTGGTGGACCGGGGGACGTCAGCTGTGAGGTGCTCATCATCGGCGCTGGAGTAGCCGGGCTCACTGCTGCTCATGAACTGCTCAAACGGGATCCAAACATCAATGTCTGTGTTATTGAGGCCAATGGCAAGTGCTGTGTTATGGTACTTTGTCTGCATCATAATGTTGGATTTGGTGATTCAAAGCCACTTAAACGTGGAGTCCGAGAAGGTCAGCCAAAGTTTTCTGTTTTTGAAAATATTCACCTAAAATAACATTTTTCAGAATGTTGGGTCGAAGTGAAAATTGTTTGAAATTATGTCTTACTTTCCAGATCGCGTTGGCGGTCGCACTCTGGCCACTCAGATGCGTGTCAGGGATGGTGCCACTGACACGTTTGACCTCGGTGGGCAGTGGGTGGCCCATGCCCAAAAGGAGATTATGGAAACCCTCTCTGAGCTCGGGCTGGAGGTGTACCCCGACAATATGCAGGTGGGTGACATTCACTGGCTCACGTCCATTCTGAGTGATCTTTTCTGATTACTGGGTAGATGATGATTGCAACAGATGTCACATTTTTTGTAACAGATCGCCTGGTGCAACCGGAATTAGCATGCAGCTGCTCAGCTGCTTCAAAGTGTGGCAGGGGTCGAAAAGACTTCACAGAAATGCTGGGCTGTATTAGCGTTTTCGCAGCCGCTAACGTATATACTTGTATAGAGGGAGAGTTGATCGGACCCGCCCCCAGCCGTTTGCTCTCTATTCGAGCTTAACTTTCGCAGAAAAAGCGAGTGGGTTTCCCGTGAACAGAGGAAGCCGATGATGCCAAATTTTAAAATCCTAAATTGTTTGACATTCCAGGTCATGTCAATGACTCAAACGTCGGGAAGATGGGGACTACTCGTCGTCATCCCCGGTCTTTATCGCGAGTTATTCACGAAAAGCCTAACTAGTGAACCAATATCCGACCCCACTCGCCAACCCTAAAAGTGCGAGGGTTGATTATTGTAGAGAAGGCATTTCTTCTCTCCTCGTTAGTCCATCTATCAGTGCTCCCTGTGTATGTTGTTATGTGATTTCTCTGGCAGGGCGCGGCACAGGTGCAGCTGAGTGGCCCTCGGGTGCGGCGGATCGGCTCCCTCCCAAGCATCGGCTCCTGGTGGGGCGTGGTCCAGCTGGCGCGCCTCTACAGGAAGGTCAGTCGACGCCAGGGGGATGGGCGGGCTGGACAGCCGTACCGCTGGGCGCTGGCGTGTATTTCAAAACTGACCGGTGCACCGGAACCGTCACGGCGTCAACCAACCTGTAAGATGTCTTGCGTATGAACTTGTTTTATTTTCGGAGGTGTGACTGCAGCGTCATATGCCACAAGGTGTTTTCTGCAGTGCTGATTCCATCATTTTCTAACTGTTGTGCTATTAGTATCCCTTCGTTCGGGACTATTTCCTGCACAGCTCCCACACTCCCTCGTCTGCATCCCCATGTAACGTCTTACATCCATCCCTTTCTCTCTGTCGGTCAGATCAACAGTCTGGCCGAACAGTGCGCGCCGGGCAGCTCGTCCCGGGAGCGCGTGGAGCGGGAACTGAACTCCTTCACCCTGGAGGCGTACGCTCGACAGTACCTGAGCGAGGGGCCCGTCCTGGAGCTCGTCACCACTCTGTGCAGAACCGAGTTAGGTGAGCGGGGAGGTTCCTTCTCTCTCAGCTGCCTGGCTGGTAGCAGATTTTCAGTTCATACTCACATCGCCAGTGCCCTAGCGAACTGTTCGAGGGCTACGTTCTCTCCGTATCGTCGCCCTGTGTTACAAGTACAACTGCCTGCGTTACACACACCACAGAGGTGACAACCACGGCATCTCGTTGGCAGGCTGTGAGGCCAGCCGTGTCGGTCTCGTCGAGTTTCTGTCGGAGACCCAGAGCGCCGGTGGTCTGTCAGGAACGATGGGCGCGCAGGAGCTGAAGGTCAAGGTCAGTGGGAACGGGTCACGGGCTCAGAGTCGAGATCGAGTCAGCGATAGAGTTGAGAATATGTAGCAGCGAGTCAGATAATAGGGAGTTGTTGCGAAAGTTAGGCTGGTGTGTGATGTATTTTAGACGCTGAGAAAGATACGCGCAACTTTATGCTGATTCCTATGTCAGAACTACAACTTTCGAATAATGAATCCTGAATAGTGAATACGATGCCAGCTAATAGTTAAACATACCTCAGAACGGCATTTTACGGTCACTGAATCCCGCAGGGCGGTGTTTCACCGTTACTGAATCCCACAGGGTGGTATTTTATCGTTTCTGTATTCCCCAGGGCGGCATTTTACCGTGACTGTATTCCCCAGTGCGGTGTTGGATCGGTTCTTTAACCCCCAGTGCGATGTTTTACCGTTTCTGTATCCCCCAGTGCGGTGTTTTACCGTTTCTGTACTGCGTAGGGTAGTGTTTTACTGTGACTATACCAAATCCCCCAGGGTGGTGTTTTACCGTTTCTTTAACCCCCAGTGCGGTGTTTTATCGTTTCTGTAACGCGCAGGATAGTATTTTACCGTGGCTATAGCTATCCCTTAAGACGGTGTGTTACTGTCTTGTTGTATGTACTGTACCTATCCCCAAGACGGTGTTTGTGTAACCCCGTAGGGCGGCACGCAGCAGATCAGCGAACTGCTGGCGGACCGGATTGGCCGCCACCGTCTGTACCTGCATCATCCCGTCACCGGCATCACCGAGAGGCAGGACGGCGGCATCAGCGTCACCACCGCCGCCGGCAACCTCTTCCACTGTGAGCAGATGCGCCGGAACCCTGGCCGTGGGGACTGGGGAGGGATGACGAATCCGTGCGCTCGGATGCGTGACTAGTCATGACTGTTGTTGTTTGTGCAATGTTCTACAATGTACATGTCTCGTATGCTAAATATGGCGGATTAGATCAATTCGTATTAGATCTGAGGGTGCTGTAAGTGCAGTCTTTGACAAGCACCAGATCAGACAATAGTCTTGTTAGTATCTTACCACAGTGTCTCCACATTAGCTCCCCGTGGTACAGAGTGTTGACCCCGTCTCCTTCCCATCCAGGCCAGCGTGTGATCTGTGCGATACCGGTGGTGCAGCTGCCCTGGATCCGATTCGACCCGCCTCTGAGCCCGCCCAAACGGGAGATCATCAGGAGCGCCAACACTGGACACCTCATCAAATTCATCGTCACATTCGAGCAGGTGAGAGGGGAAGGTGAATTTAGAGACGTAACTCGCACCCTTAGAAACGTAACTACGTTGGCACGGCCTAGAGAAGTAACTGTATGTGACCTTGATGGTGTGTCTTGTCGTTCTATGGTGTTATGCCGAAATATATCGTACAGTTTTTGGATGTTGAATAGCTTGAGTAGCTGAGTCGTTATCAAATCCCAAAACATCGCCACCTGCACTCCCGTCTCCCGAAGGTACTCTCCCATCCCTAACTCCCTGCGTCCCTCCTCCCGCCATCACCGCCAGGCGTTTTGGCGCGAGTCGGGCCTGTCGGGCGCCACTATCTCCAGCGGCGGCGGACAGCCGGAGGGACCCGTCTCGGCTGTCGTGGACGCCACCACCTACAAAGGCAGCCCGGCACTGGTCGGCTTCATCTCCGGACGCTTCAGCCTCCACTGGCAGTCTCGCACGGTAGGGATTGGGTGAGGGATTCGTATAGGGAAGTGGGTACGCATGGCGACGTGGATGGATTTGCGACTGTAAGTTATGGATGGGGGGGGGGGCGAGTACGAACTGTACGAACGGGATAGCGAATATGTACGAATTCTGTGTAGCTGATGTGGAGGAACTTTCTTGTGGGCCGGCATTGATTGAGACAGTCCCGATCGGCGGGGTACAATAAAGCAAGAGGATGTAATTTTAGCTTGCGACGTACCATGAGTGAGAAGGCGAGCTTTTTAGTACAAGTCCTTCTTGCTTTCCTTTTTGTGTAGAAATGTACGGAGTAGCTGAATATGTGGCGTTTTCTTATTTTTCTTGCACCGTTTGCAGAAAGAGGAGCGGGAGAACGCTGTGATTGCGCACCTGGTGGCGTTCTTTGGGCAGGACGTCAACCACTACATCGAGTACCAAGAAAAGGTAACGACGCGATGAAGTCGTGATTTTCCGGGAATAGATATTCCCGACCGGGACTGGGAAACTCATTACAATGGTCATTGTGCCTCTTTCATTCAGTTGTCTACTTCTCGGTCAGTGCACAACAGCTGTGCGATTTTTTTTGTCAACATCACTTATGGGTCTCTTCAGAACAGTCCCGTATCCTATAGACGATCACCGCTCGCAAACTAAGTCTGACCGGGCCTTTTATTATCTTCTCCCACTCACACGACCATCCCTTCACCCTCCCACTAAGCGCTCTCGCTCGTTGACCCCCTTCGTCGCCTCTCTGGCTGCTTCTCTGGTCGCCTCTCTGACCGCTATTCTCCGACCGCCGCTACTCTCTGGTTGGTCGGTCTCGTTTGACTCCCTCCATTGTCTCTCTGACCGGTCTGTTCTGTAGGTGTGGTCGGTAGAGAGACGGGGTGCCCGGCTGCTCCTTTGGAGTTTGGACCCGGTCTCTGTCTGTCTCTCTGTCTCTGATCACCTCTCAGTCTGTCTCTCTGTCTCTGATCACCTCTCTGTCTGTCTCAGTGACCGTTGGTCTGTCGCCCGGCAGGTGTGGTCGGAGGAACGGTACGGGGGCGGCGCGCCCGGCTGCTCCTACGGACTCGGTCCCTGACCACCTCTCTGTCTCCCTGTCTGTCTCTATCTGTCTCTCTGTCTGTCTGTCTGTCTCTGACCGTTGGTCTGTCGCCCGGCAGGTGTGGTCGGAGGAGCGGTACGGGGGCGGCGCGCCCGGCTGCTCCTTCGGACCCGGTCTCACCAGCCTGATGCCAGAGCTGACGAAGCCGCACGGAAGGTGAGCCAACAGTGGATGATCGGTGGTGGAAGCTGGACGGTAGACTAGACGGCTGCTGCTGGCGCTGAGATGGTGGCTAGATGGTGGTAAATCGTGTATGATAAACGGTAGACTTTGCTCTGTAGAATTCCTTGTACCTTGTACCTTGTAGAATACGAGCTGCTTGATGTGTTCACACCTGTTTTGCTCGCTCTTTGCTTGAATTTCTTAATCTTAGTTGAAGTTGAAGTTGAAGCTGTCCATGGAAAGAGGCCTCTGCAAAGGGCCTGTGACTTCCTCGCTTTCACTTTTACTTTCTCTCCACGATATTCCTTCGTTTGGTTGAATATCAACTTTGTGGCTGATTTTGACGATGCATCAGGCAAGCTAATTCATTGCTTGAACTGAGGATGCCTGTATTTTTCTCTTGCCCATAGCTTGTCTAACAATGATTTAAACTCGTTCAGTGATGGGGCCATTACAACCTCTGCAGGTAGAGAATTCCAGTCATTAATGACTCGTATGCTCCAGTGATTGCTTCTTGCCTTCGATTGGGCATGGGGCTTTGCGACCTTGAGTGGATGACCTCTTGTAATTCTACATGTGGGCTCCCGGCTCAGCAAAGAAGTTTTCCCTGGGAAGATCAAGCTTACTGTGCATTACCTGGTAGCATAATATAACATCACCTCTTCGTCGACAATGTACTGAAAACTGAACTAGTGTCACCGTTTGGTAAAACATTATTTAATTGCCGCAAACTTGAACAATGTGCTGTATCCCATTGTGTCAGTACCATCATAAAGATGCGCCAATTTCGTTTAATTTTGATCTCGGTTACTTACACTAAACGCTTATATTCTCTTCTCTTCCTCCAGCGTATCGTTCTGCGGTGCGGACATTGCCAGCAAGTGGCCCGGCTATATGTGCGGCGCTGTCATCACCGGCCGGCTGAGGGCGCTCGAGACGCTGTACGCCCTCCGCCCGGGCGCGCTCAGTCCCACTGATCTGGAGCGGATCGGAAAACGGTGAGTAGGAGGGAGTCGGAGGGGTGTATTTCTCTGTACAGACAGCTCTGCATGGCACAGCTGAGTGAGCGCGGTCAAGGTGGTGGGTTACAGTCGCGAGGGTGGTCTGTGAGAGGCAGTAATGCGGGGTTCGGCTTGTTTTCGCGCTGGCTGGGCGTTTTGATACGTTGTCGCCGTGCTAAGGAAATGACAAGGCAGCCTTTGGAAGTGACAGATATTCATTTCCACAACTCTTATCGTACACGATAATGCTAGAGGAATTCGGCGTTGTTTTTAATCAGCATTTGCTTTTGTTTTGAACCACAAAAAAACGTGTCGGTCTTTGAAAACGGTAATTCATCATTAAAAGCCTTTTGGGACAGTTTTTATGCCGATGTGATTGTCCTGGGCTTATGTGATTGTGAGTGTTGTATCTAAAAAGCCAGCTTTTGTTTTTGTTGTATGTGTTCCCTCGTGAGTTTTTCTACATTCTTAGAATGTGGCTGTAGTACAATATCGTTCTGCTACATTGACTCGCTTTATAGTTAGGTACACTTCAATCTTCGAACACGTTCCTGTAATCGTCACAAAGCATATTATTCTCATTGGACTCCCCTGCACCTACTGCTGCTTTCCTACTTCCTCACTGACACCACTCGTGATTGCACAACGTCTCGGCTATAGGGGTATTTCACATTCATAAGCATTAAGCAAGCAAGTTGGCGATCCACTCAACGTTTTGCAGCTATCTTTGTCGTCTGCTCAGGGCGTAGTGAATGTATATTGTATATCCTTCTTACACACGCCTCGCTTGTCGGTGCACCACCCCGCGCTTGGGACCCGTCCCGTCCTCACCGCTGTGCGCATGCCCCGTCGTGGAGTCTTAGTGACCTGTCGTGGCTCTCTGCCGTCCGTTCAGCGGCGGCTGACGTCTGTCGGTCACCAAACACACCCCTGGCTCGGTGGAGGCTGCCTGCTAGGGTGAGTGAACCGGCGGGGTGCCCGGGACGCACGGGGTGTGCTGCTCGCAATGGGTTGTCGCCAGGTGGGGAGTGCGCTTAACACGCGGCTACTAAATGTTGAAGACAAGTCGTGCTGTGTTTATTGGTATGGGATGGCTTTTCCTATTTGCACTTGGCTGTGTCATATACCTATTACCTATACCGATATGCCTCTACATAATTTTCAATACCGTTGACAACAAAAATGTAGGCGGCTGAATTATAAAAATGCATTATTTCGTATTATGTCTTCGTGATATCAAATAATGTCGTCAACAATCGGCTTGTGATTTTCTAGCGAATTGCCTTCAGTTCCTTAAACCGTTTACCATCTGGCTACAGCGGCTGGACTGGCCCCTCCTGTGAGGGTACCCGGTGTCGGTATAACGGTACCCGTGGCCGGTTTTCAGACGTCCGGCGAGGTGCCGGCCCGTGCCGGGCAGTACCCTGATGTGGGACAGCACCCTCGGCCTGGCTATCCGGCCGTTTGTCGTCCTCTTCCTGGTGATGCTTCAGCGGAGGTTCTTGGGAGGCGGCATCGCAGCCTTCGGCGTCGACTTCTGAGAACGGTGGTGGGTCAGCGCATCTACACACTTTGCTTCGGTCGTAGTGAGAGTGTTATAGGCGACACTAGGTAGTGATATTATGTTACGCAGAGATACTTGATCGAGCACGGGTTATCAATCGTTAGACCGTCAAACAAATTAACGGTTGTGATCGGAATATGGCATTTGGATGTTTCGCGAGAGGTGATTTTATGATTGCTTTGTAACCAGTAACTTTAACAGGCCTGTGGTTTGCCAATCACTAGATGCTGAGCTAAAAAGCTGCTCTATTTTGCCTAGACGCGATATGCAGGGTATATGCTTTAAGTCTAGTGCTACTTACAATTATTGCTTGTCAAGAGTTTTTTTTTTTGTCTAGGTCGCTCAAGATGTATAGGCTGGGGTAGGTACTGATGCTGTCACATCCCACTGAAACTATCACATTGGTGTTTCACTGGCTTTATCGCCTGAGTTGAGGTTCGATTTGATTGGCATGGCTCTTGAAAGTCATCAGTTCCTCGTCTGTATTACTTTTTATATCAGCGTAGTTTTTGTGGTTTCTAAATTTGCGCGTCCGCACTTAGTGATTGGGCTACTGATTTAGTTAATGACACGTTAGATATGAAGGAAAGCACAATGTTAATTATGCATTATTGACGGCATCCTCGTTAGTTTGAGGCATGAGGCACGTTTCGCATTTCTTGAGTGCCTTGTAATGGCTTGGCGGTAATTGAAATCGCGTTTACATCAGGATACTTCGGAATAACGCGCTCAACTTTTAGGGCCTTATTGTTTGAACAACTGTTTGATTCCTCTTTTTACGTTGTTCCTTATCATTTGCCATCGAATTATTTTAAATCAACGCAATTGACGTCATGTAACTAAGAAAGGCTGATTTCGATTATGCTCAAATAGGCCGCAGCTGAACAAAAAAAAAAAAATCATGAACATTTGCAATCGAGATGACACTATCGATATGCTCGCAAATTTGCTTAAGGTATAGTTGTATTGCAAGGAAACGTTACGCTTAGACTTTGTTCTAAATCTGTTGCTTTTATAGGATGATTAAACGTTTAAAGGTTCCGTGATTTATCCATGTCCTATTGTAAGCATAAAGTGTGAAGCCGGTATCTCAATTCTCTAGCATTTTTGCTTCAGTTCAATTCTGGAACATGCCATAATAATCGTGTCTGCTCGTCCTATCACAGTTTTGTGTGTGTGCACTGTAACTTTGTACTTTGTAATGTACTATAACCGCCTGCACTTGCGTTAGGGTGTGTGATAGCTCAGTGTACTCATTCTTTCCCAGTATTATTACATATCGTTCGCTGATTTGTTTGATTAGCTTTCCCCTGATCTTAGTCAATCGACCAAGTAGCTTGCTGCTTCTGGGAACCTGGCTGCAGTCTGACATCTGTTTTGTGCCTTGACGAGTGCCTTTTCCCAATTTTCTGTCGCTCACATTGATGGCCGCTATTTCCGAATATATCGTCTGCGCAGGCCTGTAGAGTGGCACGCCAGTAGACTAATTGATTGTGATATGAATGATTATTCTACTTGATATTGCCGTCCACTAATGTGATGATTCCGTGGTTGGAGGCTCTTGCCCGTAGTTGTCTGATCGCGATCAGAATGTATGTAGAAGTAAGGTTATTTTCTATCTTTTCAATACATGTTGCACGTCACACGGAGTTTTTCCCGGTTATCTTCGACATTCGTGGAAAAAAACTCTCACCTGTCGATCCAGCAGCAGTAAAGATTGTACAGGTTTAAGACTGTGTATATTTGAGCCGGTTTTTAGCATAATCAGTGGCCAGCAGACAGGAATATTTGCCTACGGCGCAGTCGGCGCTGTTTTACAGCCATGGCGGGCGATTGTGACAAGTACTAACCCTACGGTCCTCGGGCTGGGGATATGATGGTAGATGCAGTGGCGAAGGATGCAGTTAGGCTATGTGCTAAGCTGATTCGCTGTCTTGACCCGCTGACCCTGGGTAGCATTCTGTTCAGACATTGTAATTAGGGAAAGACCAAAGCCATTCAGCTGTTTGTTTTTTCGCTGGCGGGCTGTGCTGTACGTGCTCAATGTATTCAATGTCCTGAGTCGTAATTCCATTTTTAGCTCACTCAACAGGTCACGTCGCGTTCCGCCTAAAACCGGATGGCGTCACTGTTCGGACCTTTGTCCACTCTCACGGACGCGCGCTCGGACCTTACACGCCATTATATCTCACGCAGCGGTCACCACACACACTGATAGGCCAGCCACGATAGGCGGCGGTAGTTCAAGGCACGCCGGCCGGCAGTGTCTCACTTCCTCTCCTGCGGCAGCGCGGAGCAGCCATGGGTCCGAAAGGCGCTCTCCTCACCGCCCTATGTTTGGTGGTGGGTTTGGGGTGCGCTCAGGTCAGCTCCGAGTTGCAGTATGGTAGTATAGATGACTGGAGAGTGCTGGATCACTGGGGAACGGTTCTGAAAGTTCGGAGGGAGTTTGACAGGAAGAATGTGCTCGAGGAGAGTCCCCTGGATGTGATCCGTAACGCCACACAAAGACCTGGTGAGTTGAGAGCTCGTAAGTGAAGAATCGGTCTCAATTTTCAGATGTGTCCTGACGGTGGTAATGACTGGCTGACGAATAATGTTATGGCTCATGAGTGATGCTGTGGTGCGCTCTCCATTGTCTTCCGAAGCCGACGTTTCAAATTAGTTGTTTGCTTTGTAACAGTTTGGTAATTAACTTTTCGTTTATACATATATAGAGCATTTTCATGTGTCCGTGACCTGGGAGCCCGGTATCTGCGTGCGCTGTTTTTTTTTTTTGTTTAGAGCGTATAAGATCCGCAAAATCAACAGCAGACTCCTCGCTCTGATTTCAGGAGTGCCACGGACCATGGAGCTGGAGGTCGCCCGTTCGGAGGCGCCATCCGACTCCACCTCTGTCCAGTACCGCCAGCGAAGGGACGAGGCCATAGCGCGTGCCATCGGGCCCTTCATCACCCCCGTGGCCAACGAGCACGCCAGTCTGGCGTGTCAGGCCAGCAGCTTGTCCTACCTGCGCAACATCTTCAAGGAGATCTGGGCGCTGAAGATGTTTGACGCCACCGGAAAACTGCCTGACGGTGTGCTGCTGGGCAACGTGAACCCATTCGGAAACTGGGATGAATGTTTGAACACGACCGGGTATTACACCACTCGTCTGGAGCCCGACACTGTGTCGAGGCAAGCCTCATTCGCCGGTAAATACTGTCTGGCCATCATGTCCAAGGCGGATGGGAAGACCCACTCACCCCCTGATCTCAACGTAAAGTCGGCCGCCGTGGACCTGGCGCCCATCCTACCGGTCCTTCCTTACCAGAACGCCTACGTCGGGATGTGTATCCCGTCGACCTGCAGCGGCAGCGAGCTGGCCGCGGGCCTGAACGCCGCCCTCTCCGGGGTCACAGTCTCAGTACCGGACTATCTGTGCTATACGCAGGACGAGGAGACCACATTCACCGCAGGAGACATTGTCATGATTGTCATATGTTCCCTCACGGCCCTGCTGATGATTGTGGGAACGGTTATCGATGTTGTGGCAGTACAAGCCGCGAAAAAGCCAGAGTCTTGGTTGGCTACTGTGAATGAACGCGAGGTTCTTCCGGGAACGCTGCGTCAGGTGTTCTTGGCGTTTTCAGTTTACACAAACGGCAAAAAGCTCCTTGACACGTCGTCTACGAGGGATACGCTAGGCTGCCTTCACGGTATCCGCTTCTTCTCAAATACCTGGGTTATTCTCGGCCACACGTATTTCTTTCTCGTACCTTTCAAACACCAGAATATCACCAAGCTGTTGTCATTCTTCGGCAACCTTGGCTTTCTCACGATCACCGATGCCACGGTGTCCGTGGACACGTTTTTCCTGTTGAGTGGTCTTCTTGTTAGCTACTCTGTAATGCGTTCACTTGATAAAACCAACGGCAAGTTCAACATATTGATGTTCTACGTGCACCGCTACATCCGTCTGACTCCCGTTATGATGATGGTGATCGGCTTCGTCTCGACTCTCTACCTCCACCTCGGTACGGGCCCCTTCTGGGGCGTCGCCAGCCAGAGTAACCCTCTGCTCTGCCAGCAGAAGTGGTGGATGAACATGCTGTATGTCAACAACATCGACGGCCTGGAGGAGCAGTGTCTGGGCCAGACGTGGTATCTCGCGAACGACATGCAGATGTTCCTGTTCTCGCCGCTGGTGCTGCTGCCGCTCTTCCACTGGCCGGTGCTCGGCCAACTGTGGCTCATCTTCCTAGTCTGTTTCTTCACCGGCATCAACGCCATGGTGACAGTCACCGAGAACCTCGGCCCGACCGGCGCGCTACCCGGCACCGACGGCGACTCAAACATGCGTTACGAGAAGCCGTGGACGCGCTTCGGGCCGTACCTGGTCGGCCTCTACATGGGCTGGGTGCTACACAAAATCCGCGGTCGCAAGATCGTCCTTCCGGCCCCGGTGGTGGCCATTGGCTGGCTGACGGCCTCGCTCACCGGCTGTCTGATCGTGTACGGACTGTACGACCAGCCCACCGTGCCGCCGGAGGCCACCAGCGTCATCTACGCCATGCTCAGCCGCACGGCCTGGAGCGTGGCCGTGGCCTGGGTGGTGTTCGCCTGCGTCACCGGGCACGGAGGAGTCGTCGACAGCCTGCTCTCGTGGAAGGCGTTCATTCCGCTGAGCCGACTGACGTACACGTCGTATCTGGTCTCGATCGACGTTCAGCTCTACTATTACTACACCAATAAGTCTCCACTGTATCTGGATCAGCTCACTCTGGTGTATATTTTCATCGGCTCTGTGCCGGTCATATTCACAGTCGCAGCTATCTTCTCCCTAGCGTTCGAGTCACCGATGATCTCACTGGAGAAGCTGATTTTCCCGCAGGCGTCAAAGGGAGCGGCCGCAAAACCGAAGCCGGTCGTGCCCGAGTCAACTGCAAAGCCAGAGCAGGATGCGTCTAGCTCAGGTTCAAAGCCAGGGCCGGAAAGCGAGGTAGCCGTTCCAAATGGGTCTGCAACGAAAGGCGCTCAAACCGCTAAAATGAATGAAGCATTTGTGATGAATGAATGACATTCCCTACCAAGCACAATGTTTTCAAAGGCGACATCGCAAAAGCTCATACCACTATACCTAAGGCTATTTGTTTGATATTGTATGCAATGTGTAATGTTTGTTCATATTCGAGGCATGGACCTGTGTATGCCCAGGTATGCAGAGGTCTATGTTTTGTGCTGCTGCTCTGTAAAGTTACCACATGAACGTATAATGTGTACCATGTGCACTTTGTGTGGTGAACACTGTGCACGGAAACAATGCATCGGCATTCGGTAGACTAGTGAATTTACATCGAACCAACCGAGTTGGGAAGTTGAATGTTAAATATATGATGATATCTCGCACATTATTCGTGTCTTTTGAACTCGCCGCAGATGCCTGTTTCGGGCCGAGGACGGAGGACCATTAGGTACGGTTCTCCAGTAAAAGTCTTGTTGGTTTTGCTTTTTTGGATATATCTGGTCCTATATTATGTTCAAATGCATAAGTATGAACCCGAATTGTGTGTATGCACATTTACCACTAGACTGTAAAATTGCATCCTTGTATGCCAAATACTTTCCGAGATATTCACCAAAAACCTCATTTTCTGCCGTTTGGGGTATTCTGGCCGCAATCTGCCTGGGATCGCCTATGACATCAGTAGAGCCATCTAACGAGAGGAACGCGGAAACACAGAATCATGAATGAATCGAGCGCGTAGTAAACGGTGTATGAAAGGGAGACTCAGCAGAGGCTATCCGGGTGGCCGGCGGGCGGCGCGCCCTTAGGCAACGGCTGGCCCTTCGGACTGCGTGGGGTCAGAGGTCGCGCTCGGGAGTCGGGAAGTCTCGGCTCTAGGTTTCAGCGCTGTGCAGTCAGGGAGGGAGGGGAGGATAGCGCTAGCCCGACTGACTAGTATCTCGGCTGATTCGTGTGGGGTGGAAGGGAGCACAGAACGGGATGGTGGTTAGTGATGGATGGTGAGATGGTGGTTAGGTTAGTGCGTACTGCGTAGAACGTAGCTGAACATGCATTGTTTTTCATGACAAACAACATGCAGCATAGTGTGCGGGATTATGCCAGAACTGATACAAAAAGGGAACTATATTTCGGGCGAGGAAGTGGATAGGTGCCGTGACACAGCATGACGAAGACGATGCTGCCAAAATCGGGATGCTTTTTTGCCCCCATTCTTTTACCCCTAACATGGAGCGCTTGACCCGAACTTAGAGGTCCCCGACTGACCTTAGACCTTAAAATCGCACCCGTCAAGTGCGCCACCTTTTCTTCAGGGGCGCTCTTCCTGGTTGCCTCTGTTCTTACCAATAACTAAAGCAAATCGAACGTATAATTAAAAAGGCAGGCACCTTAAATACAATTTTATTCACACCCGCTCGTGTGCATACTTGTTTTGACCTATATCTTCTCATATCATAATATAGCACTTCAGTGCTTAACCCTCAACAGACTTTTGGGTTTTCTGCATATACCCAGGCCGGGGGGGGGGGGGCGATTACGACCCCTCTCCGTCTTTTCGCCCCTAATTGAGCTAGCGCCTTCCGGATAAAACTGAGCGCGTGTGTCGTAAGAGATGCAGCAGCTGGTGCCCGAGTTGAA